CTGAAATTATTCTCATAAACTTCTTCACTAAAATAAATCTTTAAAATTAATTTGTCTGTGGATCAAAAACTCAGTTAATCAATCGAAAAATTTTCACGACATAAAGTATTTCATATGTCAAATTGTCTAAACCTACGGTAAAGTGCATAAAAAAGGTCAAAAATATTGTGGCAAAAACTAATAAAGACACTGTAAACAACAGCAAAAACAGGAATCGATCCGATGAAAACACTAATGGAATTACAATTTTTTTTTAAAAATTTACAAAAAATTGCTTATTTCCTGTTCTAAGTTCATTTCGACAAATTAACACTGTCTTTTTTTTACATTCCTGTATTCTTCGAAAAGGTGCAAACGTCTATTCTACATTTACTCATAAATACAAACAGGCCTAAATACGTTATTCAGAATGCACTGGCTTATTATTCGTTTTGCTCTTTGATGTGTAACAGATTGAAAGTAAACTCATGTAACTTCAGAAAAAGCAACAAACTGGTATGGAAGTTTTTTTATTATTATTATTATTGGATGTAAACTGTCATAGACGAATATGGTTGGATTAAAGGTTTTGTTGGTTGACGAAAAGTTTATTTTTGTACGGACATTATAGTATAATAATTATTAGAGAATATTATGGCCAAAGTTCGTTGCTATTTATTAGCATTTTTAGTAGTACTGTCAGTGAAGACTATTTATAATAATGGTATTAATGATGCTGACGACATTACACCCCAAAACCAAATCGATGAGAGCAATTTAAAGTCCCTTTAAGCACAAAAAAAGTTAAATGAACAAAAGGTCAGTTGAACATTTTTACAATTATTTTATACACGAAGCACTCTGAAATAATTTAAATCATTGATGAGCAATCTTTATGGTATGAATTTCTATAGTACAAATTTACTTTAATTATTTTAAAAGATTTATTTTAAAATTATATTGGCTTTTGTGACACTAACCACGTTGAATGATTCAAATTAAACGATATCATAATCATCATTACGTAATAATTCAAAGTGATTTCAGTATAATGGTTCAAAGTGATTTCAGTATTCTGAGTGACAGAGACATACGATGATGTATGTGAAGCACGAAACCTTTTCCGAATGGTCAAATAATACAATAGTGAATGCCAAGCAGTCTACACGCACGATAAGACTCAACGTAAACTATAAGAGATAGTTTACATTGAATTCGATCGTACGTGGACTGTACCGAGTCAAATTATCCAAACAATCATATGAACAACTCATTGCAAAGTTATTCTAATTCCGTGTATTTGTGTAAAAAACGTGACCTCTTACAACTGCAACATCTTCGCGTGCTAATTAATAACTTGAATTTTGCGGCAATTTGAATTTTGGTAATAAAAAAATTGTCACTTTACCTCTGCTTCGCCCATCTCAAATTGCACAAAAAGATGACCAGTACAAGTGTAATGCAAATTTTTGAAATATTTTATAATGTCCGCATCGTTAATTTTGCAGAAAAACTGGATCCATATGCCAGGAAGAGAAGTTGTGAAGGATCCGAAATCATTCTCGCGATTTCTAATGCATAAAAAATTACCATCTTTTATTTCCCTCGATGCCTTTTTC